ACATCCAATGAGTCCTGTATTGTGGAGAGAAGTCATGAAAACATTAAACCCAAACTCAGGCCATGCTCCCTTAACCTTGATTTAGGACACCAAGGCATCAGAGACATTTCAAATAGTCAGTATCTGAAAAGTGCACAACATTCAAATGCACAGGAATGGTTGACACCTGAAGCCAAGCATGGTAGCTCATCTCTAGAGTTGGAGCTATTCCTCAGTGGCTCCAAGGCCCCTGTGCGACGCAACTCGGCACCAGTTAGCGTGTCATCAATTCGTACTGCATTCATGATCAAAACTTGCAAAGCTAAAGCTGTTCCTGTTATTCCACCAAAAATTCAGTATAGCCACATACCTCATGCTCTACCTGAGGGGAGCACTGATCAAGTCAATAAAAGTACATCTGAAAAGGAACCTACTAAGTTGGGAAATGCAGGTTCTGCACTTCCCCTCCAGACAGTCCACAGGGAGGATGTGCCAAGCAGTGAACCACCATCAGCGGTCCAAAGACAGATTCCTATGAGTAATGCAACATGCAATGAGAATTACAAACCAACCTCCATTCCAGACCTTCCAGTGTTGAGAAGGAAGCGATCTGCAAATGGGGACACATTTATGGATCGTCCTAGACCTGAGCGCTCATCGCTTCTTCAGAGATCGTCCTTCAGAAATCGTCCAAGACCTCAAAGTCTCATCCTGTTCAGCCCTCCATTTCCAATCATGGACTACCCTCCAGTAGGGGATGATGGTAAACTAGTCCTATCTCCTATTAAAGCCGAAGCATCACCATTTGACGTCTGTTCAAATGAACTAGCGGGAAACCTCAAAACTACTGAGGGGGTAACCTTGCGTAATAAAATGACTTTGCCAAAGAGTGGACAAAGGCTTGAGACCTCAACCAGTTGCTTTTACCAGCCACAAAGGAGGTCAATGATTTTCGACAACAGAAGTAACAGGCAAATTGAATGAGATAAGACTGATCCATTACTGGCAATCATGCAATAACTAGCAAACCTCTTGCTTATTAATTATGACCGAGTGTCAGTATACCTAGAAACACACAATGATGCTTGGAAATCAAGGTGCCGTTAATCCTGATAATACAGATTTGTAAGTATTAAGCTTTGTGTAAAATGCTGGATTTATTAAAAAGGATTTATATCAGAGATTTTTTCTATATTTGCAAGGAAAACTGAAACATGCCTTAGGATAAACCTGGGAAACTCAGCAGGCTCCTACTGTCTATGTAAATACAGACTGTCACTGTACAAGCATGTCTCCGTTTAAATTGACTTTATTCCCTTCATGTGGATATATATATATATATAACAACAATAAATGCAAATAGACAATGTAACTGTGAAGATATTTTGAACTTATTTTTTATTTACAAATGAAATGACTGCATGTGATACACCGGTCTTGAAACACCAGATGTTGCACTAGAGTAAATATACAGTAGATAACTATAGAAATACACTGTAATAAGACCCTACTATAAACAAACACTTCCTTTACTTGCGCAGCCAAAATCCACCATTGAAATTCAAGTACAGCGCAAAAGTCAGCTACATTTGTCTAGCTAGCATTTTATTGATTTATTTATTTTGGAGAAGACTTGCATAATGTCTTATACATTCATGTCTTATGTCTTATACAGAAGTTGTTTTATCTTATAAAACATAGTTAACTCATAAAACAGTAACGATCTGAGAATTATAATTCTCAGATTCTGTGTCTCCAAAATCCAGAGAAAGCCTGTCAGTAATTCCTCTGTTAAATGTTTTTTTTTTTTCACATTTAATAGCTCTAACTTGCCACTTGAGTGCGTTCATTGAGATATTTAGGTCAAAGACACTCACAAACTACATTATTAAGATTTTAGGGCTGTTTGACTGAAAATTAATGCTAATACCATCTAAAAATTGTGGCAAAACAAGGTAAATTTGGAGGGAAAAAAATCTGAAGACAGTTGCTTGGAAACAACAATGCAGAGTCACGGAATGACCTGCAGCAACCAATACACCTTATTTAAAGAAATATATAAATAAAAGAATAAACTTGGATTCAATTTGTTGCAAAGCCCTTGTTACTTTGCTTTAGAATTCATTATGATTTCACAAATGTGTTGCTTGACTCATCGCGGATTTTGATCTTCATTTGCACCTGCAAAAGTTTTTGTAAAATCAACTGTGATTAGGATGTTTTACAGCTATTCAAAAATGTCACTTCTTATTATTAAACATAATTTATTAAAAAAATTAAACCTGTTTATAGAGCCAGGTAAAACAGTATGCAATATATTTCACAAGCTCTTTCTCTTAAATCAGAAAGTGTATTGATCACCAATAGTTCAGGTCGTAGCCTATGCCTCTCCAAGATACTTTCAGCAAGAATTATTCAAGAAAAACCCACAATTTCTCATAAAGTCAGTCAAGATTTTGGATATATAAAATAATCTATATAATGACAATGTGTTGGAAAGTACAAAAAAATACCTGTTCTAACATGAACTGAAGTGGATCGTCTGGTCTATCAAAAACTAGTTTCTCTGTGATGTCCTGAAATAGCACAAATGAGACTATGAGTGAAAAATACAATGAAGAATCTTTTTTTTTTTGTCCTGGATGTCTCAAGCACCAAAATGTTTCTTTTGCTGTTAAAATTACATTGGTAGTTAGTCAGAGCTCTGTTTTTGTTTTCGTAATACTCATAAAACAATATGTAGTTTTATTAAATAAACCGGAATAATGCAATATTAGCATGCTAAGCCATTTTTTTTTAAACTTCTATTAGTGCTCTGAATTGTCCTTCGCCATTTTGTGCTAAGCAATTCATCACTGTCTCCCATTTTCTTCGTAAGAAAATATATCAGTAACTGCTGCTTTGTTCTTTCTCACCTGAAAAATCTGAAGAATACTGTGAGTCTCCATATAGTTAACAGAGCGTTCATAAGGGTCCGTGAACACTGAGGTAGTACGAATGGTCTCCGCACTCTCGGTGATAAGTGCTTTTTCTGATAGACCAGAATCTGCCATCTTCCAAAGTTTGAAAGTTTATACTGTTGTAGTATAGCCTACAAAAAAACGATATACACAAAATGTAAGTAATGTTAGCGAAGTGTACTTTCTCGCAGTATTATTACTCAAATAGCCTAGTTAGCGTTCGCTCTTTAAGAAAGGATTTGAAGTGCATTACATCTGCTCAAAATAAATACCAAACTTTGTCTTTAGTCCGTTTTGTGTGAATACAGAAATTGGACCGCGTATCCCGAACACATCTAGAGCCAGGACTGTTTGAAATGTCACCCTGTAACCCCTAGCAACTGTATACAAAAGGCGGGGATGATGTCATTGGGCACAGTTCCCCGGGACAGCGCCTTTGATAAAATCGTGAGGGGTCTCAAAAAGGTTTGTTGAAAAAGACGAAAACTCCGTTCGCGTGGTTGAAACGCCTCTTCTGCAGTTAATGCCATTTTTAGTATCTGTTTTTGGAAAAAGGAATACCTCAGAAGACCCCGGACTAACGTTTACAATAGGACTGACAAAGGGAAGGAGGGGCCAAACCGCCGTTTCTAGGTTGCAAGTCGTCCTCAGCTGACACCTCGGCCTACAATGGGTGCATTTTATGTAGGGCAGACGGTGTGCGTGTCCCCCGGTGAACCTCTCGGTTAAACGTTGCTGTTCATGTTTATAACCGAAAGGGGGAACTCGATATCAAGAAAAGCGTGCAGCCAAACCGGAAATCTCATACTAAGAGGAATGAAATTATGGAGGCGAGGGATTGTTACATGTGACGAAATATTTACGAGAGCCAAGGTCGAACAGCTTTTAACAAAATAATATATAGAATATATACGCAAGAAATGGCTTATTGTTTGTAAATGTGTCTCTTTGGACTTTTGACATCACGAAATCTGAGTGGGACATCCTAAATTATAATTACATCGCTGCCAATATCCGGACACGATATTCAAGATTCACTGTTCACTGCTATCATAACACGATCAGTCGTTTGAAGGATTGTATTCTTCACACACACACACACACACA